TAAAGGTTGCAGGCTTCTAGTAGCGAATTAGTTTCTTCATTGTTAAGTCCTTCAAGATTCAATGATTTTTTTAATTTTTCTAAACGTTCGAGTTGGCTCATACTATTTATTTCTGTAATATCCACATTATTTTGGATGAAAGGCTCCACACTAACTCTAGGCATGGTTATTGTAAAATCTTCGTCTGAAATATTCAAAATACTGACAAAACATTTGTAATTTTTAAGTTTGGTCAATGTAGTCCCTAAATATAGCTTGTCAGATATTTGTTTTGGTTTTACAATCCCTTCGGCATCTGGCATATTCGCCAAAGCGGAAATTATTGTTTCGCATCTTGCAGGAATAATTACGAATGTTTCAGAAGGTAACAATTTAAAATGGTTGTTCTCAAAGTTAACACTTTCCTTTTCGTAATCGATTTTAGCTTTATACTTTTGTAGAAAATCACGTCCTAAAAGACCGTCGTTTTTAATTGATGTGCTATCAGAAATGACGTGAAATTCGTGTTTCAAGGTTTTTTCATTTTCTAGTTTAATTGAAATAAAACAGGTACCCAAAGTGTAAATTGGTTGCTCACTAATACCCTTCAATTCTACGATTATTTCCTTATTGATTACAGAGTCATCTTCTATTCTACCTGCTTTTAAGAGGGACACGTCTGCGCCCGTATCCAATAAAAGTCGAACAACTGAATTTTTTATATTTGAAGAACATATTTCAATCACATCTAATTGTTTATAATTTTCGGAAATCATAATGGTTTTACGCGACGAATTTAATTTATTGTTGCTTGAATTGTTACTATTTGATGTGTTTGGAGAAGAAAATGATAATTTATTATTTGAACAGCTATTGTAATTTTTAATCACCATAGTCGGCTGTTCGCGGTCATGGCTGTTCACTCGTTTCCCGAAAAATTTTCTTGGGATGAGGCACTAGGTAATGAGGGGGGATTATTGACTGAATTGTTTTGGGTCGAGATTTGCGATTGAATGGTTTGCACTTGTGAAGTAAATGAATCACGTGCCTGAGGATTTTGCTGATTTGGGAGATACGAACCATTATTTCGTTCGTACGAATCTCTTTGTTGCCTAGGAAAGTTTTGGTCATGTGCATTTTCAATGGGATAATTTCGTTGATTATTAAACTGGCTTTGATTGTAGTAATTGTTGGAATTGAATCGTCTAGAGTTTTGATTTTGGAATCTTTGGTACGAATGATTTTGTTGGTAATTACGACCGTAGTTATTATAACCACTGGAAAAAGGACGATCTATATTGTTATTTGGCGTTGGTAAATAGGAATTATTTCTTGAAAAATTGTGATTGCTCTGATTTGAATTAAAATTTCTTTGTCGAGAAGATGAAAATTGTTCGTTTCTCGGTTGACTTTGTTCAAAATTACGGAGTTGTCTACATTGCGACGTCAAATGATTATTCATATTACAAAACATACACAAAGTTTGACTTGAACCTTGATTAAAATTAAAATTTCTATTTCCATGATTTTGTACAACATTCATATTTCTATAATTTTGATTGTTTTTCATTTTATCATATTGCTCAAGCTCAAGCTCTATTGCTACTGATATAACTCTTTCTAAATTTGTGATATTCTCCGCAACTATGCGTAATTGAGTTTTTTCGTCCTGAAGACCTTTCCTAAAATTAGTTACTAGTAATAATTGCAAATTTTCTATTAGTACTTTAGCTTCATTTGGAATATAATTCAAGTTACAAGTTTCTTTATATTTGTTAAAAAATTTTTGGATACGATCACCGTATTCTTTAATACTCTCTCTATGATTTTGTTTTATATTAGTTAATAAATTTAAAAAATAAGAAGGAGGTCTCTTATCTGTGAATTTTTCTATCAAAAAGTCTTTAATTTCCTCCCAGTTTTCAAATTCTTTATATTGTGTTACCTCTTGTGCCTTCCCTTTCAATTTAGTTGCGAAAATTAATTCAGCTAAGTTAGCCTTTTCTGTGTCCTTTACGATTTTCATCATCGCATCACAGCTTTTTAGAAAAAAATTTAGTGAATTAGCATCACCTTGCCCATCAAAAGGATCAATTTGATTTAAAACGTCAAATGCGTCTTTACCAGCCATTTTTGCTCAAAATTTATATGTAATTTAAAAAAAATTGATTATGTTACGTTCAATCGATAAATAATTGTTATTTGCAGTACCTATCTAAAATATAATAATTATTGATAATAATATTCACGTTCTGTTTGTATAATAATACGTGTTTAATAAAATCTTATTCCTAACTTAACAAAAAAGTTTTGAAGAAAATAGCGTCACACAGAAAACAAAGAAAGGACTTACTTGTTCATTTCCTGGGATTGGAAACTAGTTGTCGATCTTCTGCTGCTACAGTCCGCTGCGTCTTCGCGCTCCTGCAAACCAGTTAACAGTTGCTCTCTGCTTGCCGAGGAAACTTGCTGCGTCTGGGCGCGCCTTCAAATAGCCCCAGGACTTTTCTTCCGGAAAGGGTGTTGATGCGTACTAGGCGCTCCTGCGAGCAACACCACGAAATCTCACCGCTGCCACCAATGTTAGGAGTTGAGCCACAAGAACTGTGACTTTTATCCCAAATATACCTACATTAGAATTAAAACTATATCTTTTGATTTAATAAAAAAAGGTTTCGTTTATTTGTGAAAATTTATAAGTTTTGGGAAGGACACTTTGTCAGTTATGAGAGGTAACTTTAGATGTTGTCAGAGTCAAGATGGAATTCTGAATGTCTTCTCGTCTTCTTTCCTGAAAGAAGGAAACGTCCTGGAACCTCCTTCGAAAGGGCGGGAGTTCCTCTAGTTATTCACTGAAAGTACCTTAACGCTATTTTACAGATGTTACTTATATTGGTGCTAAAATATTTAATGATTTGGGATTTTTTTTGGGAAGTTTATACAATAATAAAAACTAAACCCTATTCGGGCACGTAAATAGTTATTGGACATCATTCCGACAATTTAACAGTTTATGAAAATAGAGGGATATAAAACAAGGGTCCGAAAGGTAAAGCCATATTGAGCCGACAAGGCATGGTCAGGCCTCTCTGCAAAATACATAGTAAATATAATAGAAAATTAGAGATATAATTAAATGTTCCTATAATCACTGTGTTATCTTATTGGTTCATAACAGCAGGATATTCAAGGTGAGTTCGACTTGGCAACTCTTTTGACTCCTTTGACACTTTTTACTGTAAAATCGTTCGGTTTAGGCCACTGGGAGCAAATAGTGCAAGCTCCTCATCGTTCGGGTACAGCCAAGTAAAGTGAAAAGAAATAACTCCAGAAGCACCACCTCGAGAGATGAAGTTCGAGGAGCGGGCATGCGCATTTCCTTTATTTCCAAAAGGCGGTAAAATTTAAGTTTTTAATAATTCACTATGCTAACGATCCTACCGAAAAGAATTCAAAGAAGATATTTTATGCTTAGGGCTTGGTCACCTCATGGGGTCCTGGTAGAAAAAATGGCATCGCTCCCCCTAAATATCCGCAAAAATACATGTTCGGTTTGTGATGGGGATAAGCGCCCGCGGCGCGCCTTGCTCATGCGTTCGACTAAATCACTTTACTCTTTTCACTCTGTGATCACGTGGCTATGGAACAGCTCTCTATCTGTTCCAACTCCGTTTTGCCAAGCCGAACTCACCTTGAGTAGCCACCAATAAGCGAAAATTCAGCTAACTAAAATTCGTAAAAAATTACTCACGTACAACTATGGGAGAAGAAAGACTAGTGGCCGTTTCACCAACTATTTTAGGGAAGCCTTAACGATAAGTATTCCTTAAAATGACCGTCTTCCATGGAGAAATGTCAGTTTGAGGAATACTTAGCGTTAGGGCTCCCCCAAATTAGTTGGTGGAAACGGCCAAGATCACCTAATGTCCCTCAAAAGTGAGAAGGACTTGGCCGACTCTATGGACTATATAAAAAATAGAAAAATACGTATGGACACGTTAGAAAAATAAGTTAGGTACCTAGTAGAGCTTCAATTTGAATGGAATTTGTTACTGTATTTACATATTCAAGTATAACATTCCTACTAATCTAATTTTTTTAAAAATCGATATCGGCAAATTAATCATAAGTTAATTACCTATACGTTTTCTGTTTTTTATGCATTCTATAAAAGTTGATGAATTACCCACAAATAAATTACCTACTCCAAACTTTTTTTTGTGCTTTTTTAAAGTGAGTTGGGAGTTGGCTCATTATGACGTAACGGCCCCCCCCAATACCAAAGCCTTCGGAACGCCCCTGGTCGGTCCTCTCCTCCAGGATTTTCTTTTAGATTTTCTCAATTCTTTGTTGTATTCTGTTAGGGCTCTTTTGTATTCGCTCCCAGTCGTTGGTGCGTTTAGCCCTATTGAATAAATATTTTCTCGTCTTGTCTCAATCCTTGAGGAGCTGAGTATTCTAGCAGGGTCCTTATTCTTGAACCAGGGAAGCAGCGTTCTCAGGAGAACGAGTGTTTCGTCTTTTTCAATAATATGCAACTAATAATAATAAGTATAAGTAAGAAAAACAGAACCTGGGAACGCTGCTCCCCTGTTTCAAAAATAAGGACCCAGGTCGTTTTCCTCTCCACTACCCACCCGTTGCTTCCCAGGACAACCTATTCTTATGTAGATTCTTTATTTCCTTAGAATAGAATTCTAGATCGCCTATGCCTTCTTGATAACATTAGGAAGATCGGTGTTTTCCGTTCTTAATAGGTCTTTATACAGACTCTAGTCGCTGAGTTTTGAGGTTTCTATAATTAGGAAGGCATTCTAGTGTGGCCTCTATGTGTTTATGGTCCGACATCGCGGTTTCATCAGAAACATACCAGTCCTTTATTAGTTGTGCTAGCAAGGATTCAACTTAACACCTCTGTCCACAAACTGGCATCACAGTCATCACACTCAATTATTATTTGGATGTGATGATCTATTGATTAAATCTTGAATAATCTCTAATTTAGATTTTGTATCTTTTAGAATATCTTGAAAATGGCAAAGATCTTTTGGAACTATGTTTGGATTACGGCAAAGACGATTTGGATGACAATAAAATTATTCAACAAGTGGAATTGTTTGCTTCAGCTGTAAGTATTTTTAGCGATGCGATGGAATACTTTCACTACTTGCAAAATGAAAAAGATTATTAGTGTCTTTTCTCCGCTTTCGTAAAATTTCAACTTTCACACTTTCAGGCAAGTGATACTGCAGGCCATACGCTCGCCTTCACTTTTGTATTATTAGGAATGCATCAAGAAATACAGGTCAGTAGTATATTTTAGGTAATTGTATTTCAATCCAGTTATACTTTTATTCAAATTATTTTTAGGAAAAAGTATATGAGGAAGTGATGGAAGTAGTGGGCGATAAGGATATAACACATCAAGATTTGCCAAATTTGAAATACACCGAAGCCGTTATTTGCGAAACTTTGAGATTATTTCCAATAATACCGACTTTAGGAAGACGCTGTGATGAGGACATTAATTTAGGCATGTTATACTCACTAGTCATATATCTATCTATCTATGTTCTTATTTCAGGTACAAAAATAATCCCAAAAGGCTCTTCTTGTATAATCAGCATCTTTCACGTACAAAGAGACCCGAAATATTGGCCAGATCCATTAAAATTCGATCCATCCAGATTTTTGCCAGAAAACCAATCAAAAATCAATCAGTTTTCTTGGATAGGTTTTTCAGCCGGACTTAGAGATTGTTTAGGTAATGCTTTCAGATTGTTTGCAGAAACTTGACAATTCGGCGTTTTTTTTTTAGGGAAAGCCCAGGGATTAGCAATGATAAAAGTGACTGTGGCCAACGTTGTCAGAAATTTCAAGATAGCATCAGATCATAAGAGCATTGAAGAATTTACGCTGACATCATGCCTGACCATGACACCGAAGGAAAATCTCGATTGCCGTTTTTCTGCAAGGGAAAAATTATAAAATGAAATATTTTATTTTATTATATACCTAACACTATATACAATATTATAGGCATTTTTAACCTTTTTTATCATTTTATTTCCTATTTATTCCTTTTACTACTATGCTATTATCTGAGAGTAGGTAGGTACCTCTATCTAACCCAGTGGCGGATTAAGAAGTTTTTCGCCCCTAGGCCTTTCAGTTTCAATAATTGCCTGACACTGACATGTTTGCTAATAATAATAACAATAATGCCCTGTACGTTTTAATTATTATGGTTAATTGAACATGTAACTTTCAATTTTTCTAATTTTTTTTCTCAACTTCTAACCACTTCTATACCTAATCGCTGAAGGTTGCCGTTGGTCTTCACAACTAATATCTTGAAATTGATGAGGGACTTGACCGACAGGGTAGAATTGAGACAGGTCTCGGTAGCTCAGTTGGTTAGAACGTTCCACTGGATATGCGAGGGTCAAGTGGACATTAGACACACCATAGGGATTTTCTAAACTACCGGAGATACAGTTTGGTTTAAATTGCCGCCCCGTGAAGTTTGCCTGGGCCTTGTTGGCTTAAGCGTTAATCCGGCACTGGCCCAACTTACCTATTAAGAGATGAAAAATGCTCCATAAAATAAAAAGTGTAGTAGACCTATTCTCAGCATGTCCGATGAAACTAATATATCTATAACAACTGATGACAAATTTGTAACGCCAATAGACACCTATAGTCTAGTGGAAGGCTGTTTATTAATAAAATTGCTGGCACACCCATAAAATATAATAATATGACTAGGATTTTTTTAAAAATTGATTATTAATAATAAAGATAAATCAGTTTTCTAAGGAATGCGTTTATTAATTACCATAATAATTATTACAGGACAAAATCCAACAAAATAGAGACTTCAGACTGGTATAAAGATATCTTTTCATAGCCTCGTCTTTCACAACAGTCTTTTGTCAACTTTCAGCAGAGTGTTTTTTTTTTTAGCCAGAAATGATTATTTCTCTGTATTTAATTGGTTTTTGTACGTGTGTATTTTATCTGCATTTTGTTTATCGCAACTGGAGGTATCTCAAGTTTTCTTGGCAAGTAAAAAACGGTTTTTGGTATCCCATATTGCCTCTGATTGGTAACACGTATGTCACTTTATTTTCTGACTCATGTAAGTATTTAATAGGGTATTTCAGAGAATTTTTGACTTGAGCTTCTTTACTTTAGAGTCTTTTGAAAGATTGCTCTAAGCTTCAAGCGGTACATTTAAACAAAGAAATTATAAAAAATTAAGTTTCTATTGAATTTTTGAATTTATTCTTTTTGGCATAACATTTCGTTAAACTATTAGCGCAAATATTCTTTATTTGCAACAAAATTAGAAACAAACGTCATTTTAAGATTCTCTTATATGGGGATCTTATACGTAACTGTTATTTGTCTGGAAAAGTTTTCAAAGCGTGTCGTCCCAATGTTCCGTAAGTCTCTTCCCATTGCAACAAAGATTCACTGGCTTAGCCCTATAATTTTTCTCTCAACAAGCAATAATAATAGTATATTACATACCGAGTAGGGAAGTGTTTGTGTGTGTGTAAAAACTTTCCTCCGAGGTTTGTATACTATTTTATTTGCAAGCACACCATTAATTATGATTAGTCAATTGGTGAGGGAAGTCGAATAGGGAAATCGGTGAGGGAAATCGAAGAGGGAAGTGACACAGGTAAAGTCAGTAATGACAAGATTACATATATGATTGCAAATAAAATTATTTTTTTTCCTTTGCACCCAATTTAATGACGATTAATAAGTTTGTTTACCATTAAGCCTACAAGTTACTTATGTATTCTCGACGCCAGTGTGAACTTCGCTACCTATTTTATTTCTCACATACCTACTTCTATTATTAAATTATTATTTATTATTTCGACATTAAGTTAACTAAACAGAATGACTATTTAATTTTAAAAAAGAAAAATAAGCAAATTAAATTTAACTTTTCTAGGTACAGGGTTATTGGTTATATATGTCACCCCCATCTATCTTTCTTATTTGACATTTTAGAAAAAGGCGTCCCAAATAAAAAAATTATGGTTGATAATCAATTTTTTGAAAAACTCACTTTGCATATACAGGGTGTTTCAATCTGACCAATCAAATTCGATGTGGCTATTTTGAGCGACATAATGTTACTAAATGGGCTAGATCAGAGGTCAGAATGTTGGGACGGCCTGTTGCACTTGTCCGCTAGAAGTGCCGCATGTTTTGTTTATTTGTCACTCATTGCTCTATTTTATGCGAAGACATTTCAATTACTTATGATATAAAACTACCCACAACGTTCGTTTACTCTAATGTGAGTGAAAACACTTATCGTGTAAGCTTGTTATCCCAAAACGACATTATTTTCAAAAAACATCTTCGAATACTCCAAGCTATAGTGTCGAATCAAGATATTCATTGGCTCAGCTAGCTTTTGGAGAGAATGTCCAGTCAAAAGATTTATATATGTCATTTGCAGTTGCAAGTCAAAATATGACTGAATATGTGGGTGAAAATTCTGAAAATTTTACTACTGTCAAGTTGACAGTAGTAAAATTTAATAATGGTTTAATATCGAATGATAATACTGAAAATCGCCAACTATTGATCGGCCTTCAACAAGAGGAAAACACCAAGGAAGTTTCTTTTGCCTCACTTATCAATTTGATGAAGAAAAAATCATACACAATTTGGCACTTAAATTTTTAATTATAAGATATTCTGATTTTGCAAAATCTAAATTTATTGACCCCTTATGTCCCAAATGGTTATGTTTCTTAATTCGTCTGTTTCAATTGAAAAACTAACAATTTAATCAATATAGGTATTCATATACAGTGTGATTTTTTAAGTGTGCAACATATGGGAAATTGTTCAAGTAATAGCACAACCCAAATAAATACAAACAAGGCCAAAAGTTGGTGCATGTCTGATAATCATATTAGGTGCACTTATAATGGTTGCAAGTCAAACAGCATACAGGGTAGGTCAAACATTATCAAAATTATACTGTGAAGTACCCTTATTTTGAAAAATTCAGCAAAATGTTATAGAGAAAAGTTGTTTGGAATTAAAAGTTATGCCTAAATACCAAAACATAGCCTCCTATTTTTTTTTTTTTTTTAAAATCTGTAATTTCTATATTTTTTTTATTTTTTATTTCCGCCCTTAATACATTCAAAAATTAATTAAAATCAAATCAATTTTACATAACTTTGTTCAAATTCAAGCATATTTGTAAAATTAACTTAGATTTTTAATTTTTTATGGAATCACAAAGTTCATGTTTGTTGCAATGATATTCAACACAACTTTAAAATGTCGCAATTTTTTTTTAACAAGTTAAAACATCACTAATGATAATAGCCATATTAAAAAAACTCTCCTTAAAGTTGTTACATGAAGAGTGATGAGATTGCCTATTTGTTGCGTGAGCGATTATTGCAAAAGGGGGAGAAAGAAGAAAAGAAGAAAGAGTTGAAGAAGGGAAAGGGGTGAAAGAATGGAGGGGATGATAAAACTCCTGAAGGTGGCCGAAAGGAAACCAACTTGTAGGGCAGCTCCGACTAGCCAGATTAAAGGTAGAGTGGTCTGGGTCAAAACTAAAAGCGCCACCTGTTTTCAGCCCTAAAGTAAATTGGTTCCTGAATGCGAAAAATAATAAAACAGGAAACAGCCTAGAACATACAAAGTAATTAAATCAACACAGGAAAGCAAGGAGAACAAAAAGCAGGGCATCAATAAGTGAAATCACCTATTAGCATGCGAGGACTCGTCGATTCGCAAATGCAGTCAAAGTCAGCTGTAAAAGGGACAAGAAATGAAAATAATCGAAATCAAATATTCTCTGATATGGTTTATATACTCTTCCAAAAATGCAAAGTATACAATATACCAAAAAAAAAGGTGCAATACTTATCAGTAAATTATTAAAAATACTACCTATTCTATTGCCTTAAAACCATACTATACCTACCATTTTATTAAAAATTTATAACCTTATTTTAGTCATTAAAGATCTCAAAAATCAATGTACAAATCAATAGTCGTTTACCCTCGAAATAGGCCTATTTTCCCGGTGTACAGTTATCCCGATGTTAAATTAGGCGTAAAGTAGTGTACCTACTTAAAGTACAAAGTTATACAAGGATGGATAAATCAGGTAATAATTGTAATAGGCAAAAATAAAACAACAAATTTCTTAAAGGTTATTATAGGCCTCTATCCAGCTATGGAATTTCTTAGCCCTTGCTTCGCTGAACAGTGCTACGTCGCGAAACTGACGTAAGTTTATATTTTGGCTACAGAACGTCACTCTTTATCTCAGCTGGAGTGTAACCATATAATTTCAGGACCCAGGACAACACACACAAATGATCAGACTGACTTACAGATGGAATCCTCAAATACGTGTTGGTTACCAGTCTTACAGAGACCAGGATGACTTCTGACTTGGAGTGAGGTCTGGAAACCTTCAAAATCTTTCTGGTTGGCAGGTAATGGGGAGATTTAGGTCCTCTTGAGTTCTGAGGTGGTTGGTGGGCAATCAGTACTTAAGATTGTCGAAGGAGATGCCAAGCATTCGATGAAGGGTGAAGACAACAGTAGCAGTGTAACACGAAAAGAATAAGAGGAAAAACAAAAAGGCCTGAAACGAAAATATATATATTCACACAGGGTAAGCAAAAGAGAAATAGTAGGAAACGAGAACTTACCAAAATACTTTGACCTTTTCCAGATACAGCACACAAAGGAAAACGGTTAAGTTTGAGGTTTAAACCCTTAAAATTTGACCAAAAATCTGCCTAGTGGCACTGTGATGCTTTAATCTCAGCAACTCACAAAGGGGATCCAATTAGGGACTCAAAACTTATGGTAAAATCAGCAAAAGCGCTAAGAGAGGAAGCTCACAACGTGCTCTTCAAAAAGCTGCCCTCTTTCTACCCAAAAAAACCTATCCCTTCCGGAAGCATGGGTGTCCAAATAGGGAATTTTTAAGTGTCACAATTTTAGGTTGGGTACCATGGTACCATCGAGGAAGGGAAAGCAGAAATCTGTAATTGGACCAAAGCAGGGAACTGTTATTATTTATAGTCAAATGTTTAAATAAATAAGCACAATTATTGTTAGGTGGTACTGTGAAAATAAAATCCTGAAAACTGCGTGAGTGTTTATGAACCTTACTGACTCGATTGGTAGATGGAGGTACCTTTATTTTAGGGAGAAAATTAATCCCGTAACAAAGTGCAAAAGTTTTATTTTATTTAAGTAAATATTTCTACAATTTTGATATTTTTTGAGCTACCCTGTATGCTGTTTGACTTGCAACCATTCTAACTGCACCTAATATGATTATCAGACAAGCACCAACTTTTGGCCTTGTTTGTATTTTGATTGTGCTATTACTAAAAAAAAATCCCATATGTTGCACACTTAAGTAATGACACTGTATAATATCACAAGAGAAAAAATTTTGTCGGCAAAATTTTCGAAAGGTATGAAAATTTGTTGCTTGGTAATTTCGCGAATGACATTTTTGACAAAATCACGAGCCGTCAGGCGTCAGGTTGTTTGTGGCAGTAGCTGACATCGCACACATCACTTTCGATGGGGGGGAGGGGGGGGGGGGACAAACAAAGCGTTTAAAAAAGTACGCAAATAAAAAATATCGTTTGTTTGCCTCATGGCCGTTTCCACCTAAGGTTTCCACCAACTATTTTAGGGAGGCCTTAACGATAAGTATTCCTCAAACTGACATTTCTCCATGGAAAACTGTCATTTTAAGGAATACTTATCATTAATGGCCGTTTAAACCGACCATTTTAAAGGAGGTTTAATGATAATCAACGATTAAGGTGACATTTTTACATGTAATTATCGTTAAATATCTTTTAAAATGATCGGTGCAAACGGCCATAAGGTTCCCTAAAATAGTTGGTGGAAACGGCCGCCGTCGATGACATGTTTGTCCTCCTATCGAAATTGACGTTGTGTGCCTAAGCGCCTAACCGCAGGGTTGCCAGATGGTTATAACTAATTTCCCCCAAAGGATTTCAAAAATACCCCAAAAATCACTGTTTGTCAACTAAAATCCCCCAAATAAATATAGATTTATTCTCGACTCATACTTGC